TCTGTGTAATTCTCTATATTTATGCTTCCTTTGCAGATCTTCTACCTCTACATTTTTCTTTCATCCACTCTTCCTTAGCTACATTTATCTTTCTCTCAATTTCCCTGTTAAGCTCTTTGTATCTTGTTAGGTTTTTGTTTTTTACCATCCGTCTCCTCTCCATAATTTGTAATATTTCGTTTGTCATCCGTGGTTTTCTTTGTTTACGGTTTTCTTTCCGTATATTTTGCTTTGCTGCCTCCAGGACAGTATTTTTAATTTTTCCCCATATGTCTTCAATGTTTTCTTTTATTGTCTTCTCTTTAGTGGGAGCTAATGTCTTAGACTCTAACTGCGTGTCTACCATGTCTTTATACATATGTTTTTGTCCCTGGTCAGCACTACTCCATGCTACTCTCTGACTGGGTTTAGCCTTGCCTACTCTTTTAAGTTTTATTCTGACAGTTAAAACTACAGGATTGTGGTCTAAATTTATGTCACAGCTTGGGTACGTTTTTACATTTAGAATACCATTACGGAACCTTTTATTAATTGTAATGTAGTCGATTTGGTTCCTCACAATATTTCCTTCGCAATCTTGAGGAGACCTCCACGTATACAGACGTCTTTTTGGTAATTTAAACCATGTGTTAAGAACCACCAATTTGTTCTCTTGTCAAAATTCAACAAAGCGTGTGCCTCGTTCATTCCTCGTTCCTAAACCGTATGGGCCGATGATCGATTCGACCTTTTCTGCTCCTACCTTCGCATTTCAATCTCCCATAAATATGTTGATGTCATCTGATTTTATCTGTTTTTTCTGAAAGTATCTGAAGTAGAAAATCTCAAGATCTGCATTTGTGCTGTCTGCTGTCGGGGCGTATACCTGTTTTAAACTAATGTCGAATGGTTGTCCATTTAATTTGATGATCATTACTCTGTCGCTGACTGGTAGAAAACCCTTCGTGTGTTGTTTCATGGATGCTGTTACCAGCACTTCTATACCTGATTGGGCATCATCATCTTTGCCTGCATAATAGAATCGGTTTCCATTTATTGTATCCACATATCCTTCTCCTCAACTAATCACCACTATACAAACCAGAAAACTGGAATACCTAGGCCACGTGATGAGGGGACCAAAATATGAAATTTTGAGACTGATAATACAGGGAAAGATTCAAGGAAGAAGATCTGTTGGCCGAAGGCAGAACTCATGGTTAAAGAATCTATGTGATTGGTACCAATGTAGATCGATTGATTTGTTTAGAGTAGCAAGTTCTAAAATAAAAATAGCCATTATGATTGCCAACCTCCGTAGGGAGACGGCACTCTAAGAAGAAGATACAATGTCTTAACATTCCACGTAGTAATTTTAAGTTTCCTCCCGGGGATTCTTAGCACCCCTTAACGATTGAACGCCTGCCGGGCACTAGGGGCCATGTATTGATTTTGACTTGCCATATTAACTATCTTGGGAATTTGATGCAATAGTTTCCCACTTGCCTTTCGAATCCTATGACGTTGACGACGCGATATCGTTCATCCGCTTTCAGGGATGAACGCAGAAGATTTCTCCTCCCCAGGGCAAGAGGGTGCCCTTGCGTTATTATTAAGAATAACGTTGAATGCTTATACCGGCAAACACTCGGTCCCCATCTGCGTCAGCCACCTAAGCTAACTACTTAAGTGCTGCCCATCTTCTACCACGTGGAGGTGCAGATTGGGAGTTTCCCTTCATTGAGCTCAAGACCGTAAAGGCATTTCTTGATATTCTCCAGTACTTTAAGAAGATACTGATTCCCTAAGTATTTAATTTTGTATGTATGGATATTGTATTTAATTTTGTATATATGGATATTGTAACAGATGTTCTCGCAGAAAAGGTAAGGAAAGCGGCTCCTTGGTCCATGCTATTTGAAGATGATATCGTGTTAGTGGAGGAAAGTAAAGAAATGTTGAAAGAAAGAGAAGTTGGATAGGTGGAGGAGGGCAATTGACGAGGAAACACTTAATGTTAGCAGATGGAAAATGGATTATATGTGGTTGGGAGGAGCATGAATGATTAGGCACATCGAATTACTTGGAGAAAAACTAGAAGGAGTAGGAGAATTTAAATACATCCATTACTACATAACGGAAAATGGGACACTGGATTAAGAAATTTCCCTCATGACACAAGCTGGGTGGTTTAACTGAAAGCGAGTGAGACGGGCACTCTGTAATCGAAAAGTCAGTGAAGGGCTGAAGAAAAAAATATACAAGATTGTGGAAATACCTGCGATGGTATAAGATGGTGAAGTGTGGCCTGCAAAGAGAATTTAGAAAAAGAAGATGGAGGTAGCAGAAACGAAAATGTTGCGGAGTATGTTGGATAAGACTGGAAGGGACAGGATAAGTAAGACTTGATTTAGGAAAGAGTCAGGGTGACTACAGTCTCAAAAAAGATCAAGAACAAAGTCTGCAATGGTTTGGTCACGTTCGACGTAGAAATGAAAGCTATATGGGCTATTAGAAGTTGATGAAAAGAGAGGTAGAGGAAAATCGAGGAGAAGATGAAAAGACTGCATGACAGCGGAGTTAAAAGAGAAAAAATTTAAAGCGAAGAAGACAGGATGGACACAAAAGTGCGATAAAGGAGAGTAAGGAATAGCAACCTTTGAAAAGGGAAAAGCTGAGGAAGAAAAATGAGAAGTATCTAGTCTATCTAATCTGTTGATGATGCTTCTATTTTTTCTGGTTCCCATCCGTTTCGGATGTTGGAAATCATATTGGCAATCATAACCTTGCTCGCTGCGGCTCGAAACAGCTCCGTTGAGGTTTTCTTAAACCATGTGCTTAAATTCCGCAGCCATGATATTCTCCTACTACCGGGTCCTCGCTTACCTTTGACTTTACCTTGCAATATAGACTGCAGCAGGGAGTGACGGTGCTGATTTCTCATAACGTGTCCCAGATATTGCAATTTTAAGTGTTTGATCGTAAACACAATTTCTGGTTCCTTCTTCATTTTTTCTAGAACTGCCTTGTTCGTGATTCTTGCTGTCCATGATATTCTCAGCATTCTTCTATAAAGCCACATCTTAAATGCTTCAAGTTTTTTTAATAGTGGTGTCTGTAGGCGTCCATGCCTCCGCCCCGTACAAAAACACAGAGAAAACATAGCATCTCAAATGTCTCATTTTTGTATCTAGGGATATGTTGTGACTTTTGTAGATGGCGCTCATTTTGTTGAAGACCGTTCTTGCCTTTCCCATGCGGCACTTTATTTCCTGTACATTGCTCCACTGTTCGTTTATAATAGTTCCCAGGTAGCAATACTGTTTTACTCGCTCTATCTGCGTCCCATTAATGTATAGATGAGCCCCGTTTATATTCTCCTTGCTGATAATCATTTGTTTCGTTTTGTGGGTATTAATGTTTAGCCCGTACTGTTGACTGTGCTCGTTTATTCTGTCTATTAGCCTCTGAAGTCCCTCTAAACTATCTGCTATCACCATGGTGTCGTCGGCATATCTAACATTGTTTACTCTTTCGCCATTTAGAAGGATGCCTTCGTCTATTCTGTAAAGAGATGATGATGCTAGATGATGCTAGTATTACAATATTATCAGTATTACGCATATTACTGATTTTTTGTCCTCCCACTGTTATTTCTTCTTGCTATCATATGAAGACAATGAGCATGATGTCTTTACTATATACATTTAATAGTGTGGGGGAGATAATACATTTTTGAAGAACGCCGGCTTTTAGTTTCAAGTTACCGGAATGTGTGTTGTTGACTCTTACGTTTGCTGTGTTAATGACATACAGTTGTTTTAGTAGGCCAATTCGATGTTCAAGAAAACCTATTTGTGTTATTACATAACACATTTTATGCCTCTTTACATTGTCGAACGCTTTCTAGTAGTTGAAAAAGTACAAACAAGTTTCTAGATTTTTCTATAAATTGCCTTAAATTGAGAATCGGTTCTGTTGAGAGATATGAAAGTGAGATTACACCAATAATGGCCATTTTCCTATGTTCCAGATTTTATTAAACATTATTTTAATATGTGTTTGAACATTATTTCAATAACCATGTATCATATTTCTTTGAGTGCTTGGGCAGTTATTTCCTTTTCGTTTTGATATTTTTTTTTTGTTTTTAATTTCTTCATTGTTTTTTCTATTGCGGATTTTAAAATAGGTGATCCCTTTTCTTCAGTCACTCTGAAACAACATCTCACAATATCGTTTCCATGTCCCGGCTAACCCTCCGGATTGGTGATGATCTTGGTTGTTTCCAAGTTATCTCTAAGGATCTGCATTTGTGGTTCGAACTCTTTGATTATGTATTTTACTTTTTCAACCAATTCTCTAGATTCTTGATGATTGGCCTGTTATTCTAGCTATTTGGATAGTTCTTTCATGTCATTATTTTTGTCATTTCTGTTCGATTATTATATTCTTCTGTAAACGGTAGCTATTTAACTCATTTTTCCTTATTTTTCTTTAGGACCTGTGGTATTTATTACGTCCATAAGCCATGACTCTGTATGTTTGATTAGGATCTAGTGGTTTGTGGTGTATTACGATGTCTTCGTATTCAATTTTTCAGGATCTTTGGGTGTAAATTTGATTATTTTATTTGTTTCAATCAGCCGCTGATTTTGTCCTTACATTAACAAGATTTTTCATCCTTTGCTTACAAGTTTTATAATAATCTAATTGATTCTTATATCTTTCCCCTGGCAATGTCCAAGTTGATAACCATCGAGGGTGATGTTTAAACATCGTCTTCATGATACTAAGTTCACTCTGGATGACATCTATAGTAGCCTTTCTCTTCCCTTATTTCGATCTCCTATTCTAAACCTAACAAATGTCCCTTTGATTTGAGATATGAGATAATTGGACTAAATTATAACAAGTTACGATTATATAACACGTTATTGAGTTTTTAATGATACATTTTACCTACAATTCTAGATCTGTATGTGTATATTATACTTTATTCTTATTATAATTTATTTTAGGCAAAAAATTAACATGGAAGAAGCAACATTAAACGAAAACCCCAAAAAGATTAATCCGTTAGATACAGCTAATATAGTATCAAAGGTATTATTTTGGTAAGTAAACTCTTTCATCATCATTCACCCAATCGCGTCCACTGCTGGACATAGGCCTCCCTCCGTTCTTTCCAGTGTTCTCTACACTGTGCCGCTTGTAGCCAGTTTCCCGCTACACGTTTTATATCATCTACACGCTCTACTGGCTAAGTGCCCTGCCCAGTTCCACTTAAGCGACGTGGTTCTTTCGATGACGTCTTGAACTCCTGATCTTTGCCTGATTTGTTGGTTTGTTATGTGGTCTCGAAGGCTCACGTTCAGCATTGCACGTTCCATGGCTCGTTGCGTAAACTGAGTTTATTCGCAGATTTTTGCGTGAGTGTTAAAGTCTCCGCTCCATAAGTTTGTACAGGTAAAACACATTAGTCATATACCTTTCGCTTGAGACACATGGGAATTAAACTTTTTAGAATATGGCTTAATTTGCCAAATGCTGCCCAAGTTAGGCCTATTCGCCTCTGTATTTCATGTGTTTGATTGTCTCTGCTTATTTTGATTTCGTGTCCCAGATATTTGTAAGTGTCTATTTGTTGTATGTTATTATTGTCAATAGTTATATTTCCACTCATTACGAGATTTGTTATAAGTTTAGTTTTCTCAAAGTTTATCTTTAATCCTGCTCTTTTAGACAGACTTTTAAGCGAATGCATCATAGAAACTGTATCTTGTAAATTATCTGCGATTAATACAACATCATCTGCAGAAGTAAACTCTTTACATATTTACATTTCTCAATAATTTGTACCATTTCCAAAGTAGTTTAAAAAATTATGACCTCTATTGTACACACCCTTCTATCATTTGAATAAATCAAAGCAGCAAAAGACGATACCTAATAAAGTTGCAAATAGTGCCTCTTCCATAAGAATCAAGGGTGTAATGATATCGTTCTTAACTGCAGCATCAATAATAATTTTAGACGTATTTTCATACATAAAGGGGATGTTCTAGAATTGGCGTTTAGGCTAATCAGCTTCAGAATGTAAAACTCATGGAATATGGTAAACGATTGTAGAGACCTCAGCCTAAATCTTAGAAAACGAGTACTAAAGTGTTATGTATTTTCTGTTATTTTGTATGGTGTGGAGACATGGACTTTAAATAAATAACGTCTCAACAAATTGAAGGGCTTTGAACTATGTATCGAAGAATGCTGAGAATCTCCTGGACAGTCAGAATAACCAATGCAGAAGTACGAATAAAAATAGAGAACAGCAGAGCGATACTGGATTCCATCAAAATAAGTAAACTACAATATTTGGGTCATATAACACGTAATGGCAGATATGAATTGAAGCGAAGGAAAGCGTAGCATAGGTAGAAACCTCAGAGAATGGTTTGGATGCAGCTCAACTGAACTCTTTCGAGCTGTAGCCTCAAGAGTTAGAATAGCAGTCATGATTGCCAACCTTCGTCGCGGAGATGACACGTAAAGAAGAAGAAGATATATTGGTCGACAACATTTGCCGGAAAGTGCTTTTAAACCAGGCGACAATCCTTTAAAATCTTTACAGATAAATTGGCAACCGGCAGTTCCTATTCATTCCTCCCCTCCTCATTCCTTGAGTGTTTGTCAGGTCGTGGTGACACTTTAAATAATATTAGCTTGCCGTCGCCACTGGCTGTAATCTTATACCATATGACATTGGATTTTACTACCAGAGTCTTAGCTTGCCGTCTCTATTGGCTGTAATCTTATACCATATGACATTGGATTTTACTACCAGAGTCTTTATTTGGTCTTTCCATCATGTTGGAGATTTTCCTCTTGGTTTTTAGCCTTCTACCCTTCCTTCTACTACTAATAGTTTTCTTTATATTTTTCCTTCACTTATGTACAAAACCATGGAGTTCTTAGCCTGGGCACAGAATACTAAACAATCAGAATGACCACTCTCAGATGCCGCCTTTGAAGTTTTTCAGCACGCGCGCCATGTTTTAGAAGGAAACACATAACACAGACATGGCACAGACATATGATTTGTGAGGTTATGTAATTGTTTATATTTATGTTTAAATTTATGTTATTATATATAACAATGTTAATATAATTGTACAGTATGTCTAAGATGCCGTAAGTCAATTAAACCGGGTTAATTTTTCTATGCACACCACATAAACAACACTGGTTTCCTCTAAACCATGGCGGAACGTCTGCGCGAACGAGATGCGCGTACTTAATTTTCCATGGAAACTGGGCATTCTGATTGTTTATTATTCTGTGGCCTGGGGAACGGTTTATTTTTATTTATATTTCTTTCACCAAGAACTTCCTTGGATTGGAAAAATTGTTAAGATGTTATATTGCGGGTAACGAGAGGATGCAAAAAATTCGAACATTCAACCATATATTAGTTTATATTGGGTATTATCCATTTTAGGTGGTTGTTACCTCTCTTCAAAAAAGGATACAGTAAGGAACTGACTGAAGATGATATGTACCAGCACCGTAAAAGTCACGACTCCGGAGATCTTGGAGATGAGTTGGAAAAAATATGGAATAAACAACTGACCAAAAAGAAGCCATCTGTTATTAAAGCCTTAGCCAAACGGTTTGTACCGGAATGGATAATGTTGAATTGCATTATTCTTATTTCGGAGAGTATCAGGTAATTCTTTTTTAAGATAACTTTTATAAGATATTATTTTGATAACGAATTAGTAAATATACATATAAATAAGATAATAGCAACTGGTAGCTAGAAGTCTTAAGTCAAAATAACTGTATAACGATAAGAGTAAGAACTTGAAATAAATTTTATATATGATTTTAGAATACAAATTAAGTTTTAATTATAATCGATGGTATTACAGCTCTAGTTAAGTTTTTACTTTCCTTATAGTCCAGTCGTCAGAGACTTGACACCTAAAAATCATACAAACAAGCTGAATTTTGCCAAGAATATCAATTTTTGGACGTCAAAAAAGTTTCACTTTCACCCCCGGGCTGCCCTCTAAAATCTCCTCTTTTAGAAGGGTAAAAGCTCAAAAAATCGATTTATTAAGAACCTGTATGCCGTAGAAAAAACTGTTTTAAATAAACAATCTAACTCAAAAGACTTTGAACAAAAATGTTAGTTAGCACCTTTTGGGTAAAATAAACCTCTCAAAAACAGCGCTGACGTGACAGCCAATTTTGAATGTCAATTGCGCGCGCAAAATCAATGTTAAATAAAATGTGGATCAAGTCGATATCTTTTGATCAAAGTGTCCTACCGACAAAAATCAAATGGGGTTTTAGGAGAAAACCCAAGGGCAAAAGTGGTCAACTTTTTTGCATCTTTTTTGGCATCCTAAAATTGACATTCTCGGCAAAATTCAGCTTGTTCGTATGATTTTTAGAGGTTCAGTGGCATTTTCATCTCTGTCGATTGGAGTATTATTTGCTCACAACCTCAAAATCTTTGGGTATTCTTTTGGGAGTTGACATTTTTACTTTATTTTCTCTTTTTTTTGATAAATACTTAATTTTTGAGTTATTTGTGAAAAATCATCTAAAAATGTGACTTTTATTTCGAAAAATAATTTTTTCTTGCAAATAACTTAAAAAAACTTACTTTTTAGTCAGTACAAAAAGTTGCTTGGACTTTATATATAATAAATATATTTATTTATAAGTTTACAGTACGATAATATCTTATCAACTAAACTTAAAACTAATATCAGCACTGCTTATATATACAAGTTATCACCTACTAGAACAATCTGGAATAGTCCAGCTCTACTTTCTCTTGTATTGACGCCTCGAACTCTCACATAGTCGATATACTAGGAACACTCTTGAACACACATCATCGTCCCGAGATGATGAGATCTGAGCTTTCCGACCAGCAATTCTATATGTAGGCTCATGATAATGGTATCTACATGACTCTTCGGCTCTGCATAAACACCTCAAGAAGAAATAACAGTCTACTGACTTTGAAGGACACGATTTCTTCGGGTTAATGCAAAACACAGTAATTCGTACGCTACAGTCTTCATCGCGTTCTTCTAGTTGCTTACGCAACTGTTTCACTGAAAGTTCTACTAGCAACATCTTTGGTAACGAACACACGTACTTTACAAATGTTTTTCTTATAAAGATCACTACCGAACTACGCGGATGTTACCGACAAACAATACTTTTTAAAATTTCAAAAGTCACTGCTAAATTTATTTTTAAATAAATAAATTATTTCATACCGTAACACCAACTGTAGCGTTTTACCAATAAAACAAGCGGTTCTAATGTATGTAAATATATTTATTTATAAGTTTACAGTACGACATCTTACTTTTTAGTCATTACAAAAAGTTGCTTGTACTTTATATATAATAAATATATTTATTTATAAGTATACAGTACGATAATATCTTAAATAAACTTAAAACTAATATCAGCGCTGCTTATATATAAAAGTTATCACCTACTAGAACAATCTGAAATAGCTCTACTTTCTCTTCGAACACACATCATCGTCTCGAGATGATGAGATCTGAGCGTTCCGACCAGCAATTCTATATGTAGGCTCAGGATGGCGGTATCTACAGGACTCTTCGGCTCTGCATGAACACCTCAAGAAGAAATAACAGTCTACTGACTTTGAAGGAAACGATTTCTTCGGGTTAATGCAAAACACAGTAATTCGTACGCCGGTTTCTCAAAAGATCCCTTCAAGAATGCCTCTGATAATCTTCCAATTGAGATTATCTAGTACATTGCCTATCTTGGGTAAGGCCAAATTATTGATGTCATAATTGCACACGATTTTCTTTAAATTAGTAAGAGACAAATTACTGACAATCTTCCAATTCAGATTTTCTAGTGCGTGTCCTAGACACACTGGTCTTTATCAACACAAGGGGCTAGAGAAACGTTATGCGCAACACTAAAAAGATCCTGCTGAACTTCTGTGTTCGCGCCGAATCAAGCATTCTTTCTCTCTGCGTCATTTGATATAAATTCATTAAAGCTTAGTCGCCGGTCATCTTTGATCTCATGTTGAGATTCGTGCTTCTTCTGTTTCATTTAAGCCAGCATAAGGTGCAAGGTGACTTATGTGAACCACTTTTGGTTTACCTTACGTACGTTATTTATTCTCTTCTTAATTTTATACGGATCTCCCATTGTCTTTGCAGTTTAGAAGACAAGCCTGGAGGACGTTGTGGATTATAAAGCCAAACAAGATTACCTACTTCAAAGCTTTCATTCTTGCATCGAGAATCATATTGATCTTTCATTATGTCACTGGATAGCTGGGCGCGTTGTCGGGCAAGTTCATGAATGTTGTTCATTTTTAACTTTAGACGGTCGACATATTTTTCGCTTGCAACATGTTGTTTAAAAGGTCTGCAGCCAAACTCTAGCTCGCAGTGCAAATGAACTTCACGACTTAACATCACGTAGGTTGGAGTCTGGCCTGTAGTTTCATTCACGGCCGAGCGGTAGACCATTGCGAATAAATTAATGTGCTAGTCCCAATCTCTTTGATGTTCAGATACAACTTTGGACAGGTGTTTAGCCATCGTTCGAATCATCCCATCGGCTATTCCATCTTATTGAGAATACAGGGGTGTCGTTCTGGTCTTATTGACACCAATCAATATACAAACGTTTTGGAAAAGGGTTGACTCCAAGTTTCGCCCTTGGTAGAAGTGGATCTCTAAGGGACCACCAAATTAGCTAAAGGATTTGTTAACAAGTACCTCTGCAATGGTAGTAGCTTCTTAATTTGGTATCGCATAGACCTCAATCCATTTCGTAAAATACTCCATGGTTACCAGGATATATTTTTTTCCATCATTCGTCTCTGGAAATGGACATGCAATGTCGATTGCTACTTTTTCCATATGACTACCCACATTGTACTGTTTTATGGGTGCCCTCTTTTTACCAACTGGACCATTACTGGTTGCATACAGTTTACATATCCGGCACCATCTTTTTACATCATCTTTACAATTCATCCAATAGAACCGTTCTTGAACCTTTTACAGAGTCTTCTTAACACCAAAGTGTCCACCTGGTGCACCGTCATGCAACTAACGCAATACTGCTGACACTTTACTTTTAGGTACAATCAATTGAAGTTTAGATTCTGTACCATCATCTTTTAAGGTTCTATAAAGAGCTAGTGCTAAAAGAAGATCATCTTTTAGGACTATGCAATGCCATTGACTCTAGTAAGACTTGATTTCTGGACTATATGTACCAATGTTTTGCCAAGTAGAACACTTCGATACATCCGATCCAATACCATTTTTATACATGGACGGCTTGAGCGTCTTGTAGCTATTAATGCTGCAATTGATCATTAATGACGATGATTCATCTCACGGCGCAAAATCGTTCTTGTAATTTAAGAGAGTGAATATAATTTGCACTGCATGGCCGTCTTGACTGAGCATAAGTGGTTAAATAACTTTTTATAGCCCAATGTTTGATCTGTTCTAGCTTTCTAACAGTTGTATTATTTTATTGCTATTTAGGGCGAATATGACCTACGGCGCCACCATTTCAACATCTTGGTTCGCATCCCTTCGGCATCGTGTTACAAACTACCTTTCGTACGATTTTCTCCAGACGTTTATCGTTTTGTTCGTCGCTCTCTTCAGAGTACTCTTATCTCCGTTCATACTCAAGTTTCAACAGCTTGAATAGCTGTTTCGTGTCCCAAGGCAATAGCGAGCACTTCATTTAAAACTTTCGGTCTTGCTAGTCGTAAAGCTTTGTGTTGTTCACTGTATCTCAACCCATTGACGAAGATATCTACAGCAATTTCTTGAAATATGTTGTTTGGTGCCTCCGGATAAGCCAACAGCGCTATATGAGCAACCTCTGCTTCAAATTCTTGCGAATTTTCACTTTCTCGTTGAATTCTACTTCTTATTTGTACTTTTTAGACATGTTTAGATACTTTTTAGGTAACATTTTTTTTTGACCCATAGAAATCGATCTCAGGATATCCACAGCATTGCCTCGTAAAGCAGCAGTCAGGGAAACAGCCGTTTCTTATTCCAATGATTGACTGTCGCAATAGCTTTAAATTTTCTGACGTATATGAACCAAGAAGACTTTCCATCAAATGGTGGCAATTTAAATCTCATAAGATGTATCGTTTCGTCTCTAGGTGATTCTTCTTTCACTACAAGATCTAAAATTGTTGCATTAACTGTTGGTAGCACATTCATATTGGTTATCATGCTCTTTATCCATTTGATCTTCTCTTCTACCTTATCGAATGTTTTACAAACTTCTTTAAATTTCTTATTGTTCTTTTTAGAAGTTTCTTCCATCATTTGAGAAACATTTTTAAATTTTTCGTCAAATCTTCAAGAAACATTTTCGAATTTACCATCTATTATTAGAGAAACATTTTCAAATTTATCATCATTCTTTCCAGAAGTTTCTTTGATCATTTGAGAAACATTTTTAAATTTTTCGTAAAATTTTCAAGAAACGTTTTCGAATTTATCATCTACTATTGGAGAAACATTTTAAAATTTATCATCATTCTTTCTAGAAGTTTCTTGGATCATTTGAGAAACATTTTTAAATTTTTTCGTCAAGTTTTCAAAAAACATTTTCGAATTTATCATTTAAAATTAGAGAAACATTTTAAATTTA